TTTCGCATTTTAATCTAATGAATTTAGAGGACATTTTCTGAGCAAATTATATATCTCTCTGAGGTCAAGACCAACCCATTCAAATTACCTTAAACATTATAAGATTTACTAAATTGAGAGAGATGGAAAAAAATAGTAGATTAAGAGGAAGAAACAGAAACGAGGAGGGAGAAGTGAAAACCAGAAACACCAACAATGTGATGAAGACTTCTCACAGCCAGCTTTATCACTGTCCAAACACACCAAGACACTTTCTAGAGAACATAAATACCATTACGATCTTTAACGACGGTAAAAATAGTAATCCGAGTGTTATGTAACATGAAAGTAAAATTATCTTTAATACAAGTATACGCACAACACATAAGAATAGCTGCCATGTGTTTATGTTTCATCTGAAGTGATTGTAAATGCGGCCAAGCTGATGTAAACACTTAAGTCATGACTAACTTCTCTCGGTGTCGTTATATCAGTGAAGGCCTTGTCTCCTGATGGGCTGGAGGCAGAATGAAGCCACTTATACACTCGTTCACAGTTTGAGTCTCACACATACGCACACACACTGAGACTCGACCCCTGCAACCATATATAGATGAGCGAGTATATACTCATACATACACCCGAAAGACGGAAGGGAAGCATAGAAAAAACTAAATAACATCCACACAAAATTGTAGGGAGGGAGTATGGTGAAAGTAAACGTGGTTCTATGGGAGATGAGGTGAACCACTGAGATGACGAAGGGACAAAGGTGGGTGGCGCACTAGGGATCTATGGAGACAAAGAATTTTATCCATGAATTCAAATTCAAATTCAAAGTTTATTCTCTATAAGGATTACAATGCTGAGTTTACAGAATTTGGTTATTGTGTGGTTTACATCTAGTAAAATAATAATTAAAGAGTGTACCACTAGAACACCTAGCATGGCTAGGCATTTCGGGTAGACTTAAATTAAATCTTAAGTTTAAAATATTACAAAATTATGAGGTAAGTTGGTATTATGGCTAAGTGACTAAATACTAGTTTGTGAATTTAGCTATGTGAATGCTTTTGTTTTGGCACTATACATAGTTTCAGGCAAAAGGGGGACTGTACCAGAGTATAGTGGGTTTTGAATGCTACAGCAAGGATGAGGTTGGAATCAGTAGATATGTCGTGTTTCAGGGCAATGTGTAGTGTGAATATTATGCAGAGAATTCGGAGTTTGGGTATTAGGAAGAGGTTTAAAGTTGCCAAAAGAATTATTAAGAGGGCGGAGGAGCGGTGGATATGTTGCGGTTTTGGAGGGTCATCTGAACTGTGATGTCGACGCCCTTCTGGCAAGACTGATTGGGTGAATAAGAGTGAAGGTTTTTCTTCTTTGTCGGGTCAGTTACCTCGGTGGGAGACAGCCATAGTGTTAAAATAAAAACAAGGAAAGGCGCGCAGATGCTGCTAAGTAAACCGGACACATCACAGGCAATAGAATCTGACACTGTCACCAGTGGTGATACAATGGTGGTGGTAACGGCATGGGAAATGACAGGCATTGGCAGTAGTGGCAGTGGAGATAAAGTAGTGGTAGACACTTGTGGCAATAGTAGTGGCAATGATGCTGGGGTTGATAAAGGTCTTAGGAAAAAAACACCAGCTGACCAAAAGCTGAAAGAGAAAAGGGAAAGGCGAAGGGAGAGGACGACGAACCTTGAGGGATAAAAATGTTCATCTCACTCCTTGCGAAGGTTAAGTGGGCTAAATATAGATAATTACTGGTCAACTTGAAAGCAACTGGAGGGAGTGGGAGGAGGCAAGGGAGTGGACGGAAGGGAAGGATTGGAAGAGGATGAGAACTGCAAGAGGATGAGGACTAGAAGAGGATGATGAGGATTTCAAGAGGATGAATAAATATGAAGAAGATAAAGAGGATTTTAAAAACACGAAGAGAATTTGAAAAGGATATAGAAGAGGACATTAAGAGGATGAAGAGGATTTGAACAGAATGAGGAGAAATGGAAGAGGACGAGAAAAAGAATTAAAAGTGGATGAGATGGAGAAGAAATGAAAGGACACAAGGAGGACGATTACAATGAGTAATTATAAATTAAAAATTTCAGTGAAATGTAAGGGAAGAAGAAAGACAAAAGAAAGCAAAGAAAGAGTACTGCAATATGAAGAAGGGAATGCTGGAAGGGTAAAAAAAAAAGAGAGGACAAAAGTATGGAACAGAATGACTGGAAGGGAAGGGAGATGTATTGGACGTGGAAGCTGGTAAAAATAGGCTTTCCCGAGGTCAACAATGACGGCATAGAAAAAACTCGAGTTTGTAGGTGTGTGTGTGTGTGTGTGTGTGTGTGTGTGTGTGTGTGTGTGTGTGTGTACTCACCTAATTGTGGTTGCAGGGGTCGATTCATAGCTCCTGGCCCCATCTCTTCATTGGTCGCCACTAGGTCCCCTCTCTCCCTGCTCCATGAGCTTTATCGAACCTCTTCTTAAAGCTATGTATGGTACCTGCATCCACTACCTCACTTTTCTGACTATTCCACTTCTTGACAACTCTATGACTGAAGAAATACTTCCTAACATACCTGTGGCTCATCTGAGTCTTCAACTTCCAATTGTGACCCTTTGATGCTGTGTCCCATCTCTGGAACATCCTGTCTGTGTCCACCTTGCCGATTCCTCTCAGTATCGAGTGTGTATGTGTATTGGTAAGAATTTCTTGTAGGTCTCTCTCCAGCAAGTAGCAAGGGACTTTACTCCAGTAGGTAGTCAGTGCTTCCTCCAGCAGGTAGCCTGCCTCTTCCATTTAAAAACATGAATCTGAGCAAGATCAAAGTCCCATGCGACCGGAATACAAGTTTTTCCTCCTCATTCTGGTCGAACTGATTGCCTAACAGCAAAAATCGCTTCTCTTAGAGTTCCTGCCTATAATTTTACTAGCTAAGCTGTTGCCATATCTCGGTTCATTTTAAAGCCTATCCCTATCAATATAACTTTTTGTGGTACACCCTTCGTCGTGGTGTAACCCACGCTCGTGGGCTTATACCCAGGTACCTATTTACTCTCACCACATACATATTTACCCCTCACCACGTACACATTTACTCTTATAAGGCCTTTGTCACGCGAAGCAAATGCTTAGATTCGGGTCACAACTACCTATAAGGACAATGTTTCTCCTTTCCTGAATCAGGACTTGAGTAACGATCAGGCCAGTATTAGGGTATTAGAATCTCTCCGTTCCCTATAGTGGATGTAGAGTACGAAAATAACTGTTACTATCTCCATGGTAATGTTCTCATGCACAGGCACACACTCCTTTCCAAACGAGCAGGCACTCCTAAGACTGTTCTCAGGGTAATACTACCACGGTCCTTCCAAAAGCAAGTATTGCACTTTGTACATAATTCTCCTATGGTTGGGCACCTGGGTATCAAGAAAACCCATGTATAACTTTCCAAACACTTCATCTCGCTAGGAGGGTACAGGTACAGGTAGAGTAACCAGGACGTGTCCTGCCCCGGGTCTTCTCCATGAGGTGGCCCGGCAGTGGCTCCCGAAGGAGAGTCGGAGTGTTGTACCGTTTACAGCCCTATTGCGGGGGCAGCCCTATGACAAGGGCACAGTGAGTCTTCTTCAGGTTAGGTGGAGTACTGTTTACATCCCTACGGTGAAGGCAGCCCTATAACAAGGGTACGGTGAGTCTTCAGCACAAGTGGTGTAGCAGTTAACTACAATCGTTGAAGGCGCCCAGTAAATGTACGTCTTTGGTTCAAGTGGTGTCTTCGGTCCAGTGTATACGATGGTGCCTCGTCTCCTACTCTCCTAGGAGGAAAAGGAGCCAATATATACTGTATACGAGAGGGGGGCGGAGGCGAGAGACAAAGAGAAAGTAGAAGTAATAATATGAAGGAAGCAGAGATGATAGTAGTTGAAGTAGTGATGATAGTGGTAGTAGTAGTAGTAGTTAGGATGAATAGTGGTAGAGACACAAGGGTCAGAGTAGAGTGCGGTGAAGTAATAGTAGTAGAAGAAGAAGTAGTGGAGGAAGCCTAAGGACAAGAAAAATGAGCACTGTAGGAGAGCTAATGGCCCACGAGGGTAGGACCAAAAGCACAGGGGAAAAAAATACAGGACAAAAATCACCTAGGCATAAGGAAGGAAAGACAAAGAAAATATAGGAAAGGAGAAAATGTAAGGAGAGAAGATTGAGATCAGGTTAAGTCACAAGTGTTCTGAAGTTTGGAGCCTTTGACAGTGCAATGAGAAAGAAAAGAATCTACAAAGACAAAGCCAGAACTAAGATTCATATCAGGATGGTTATGTATAAGGTGTGTGTGAAGGCTAGAAGGGTAGACAGTTTTGACAGAGGACCAATTAATAGAATGAATGTGATCTTTAACATGACAGAAAAAAAACGAATAAATGGCGTAGAAAGACAAGTTGATAACTGAGACACTTGGGCAACATCTGTGAATCTTTATTCTGGAAATGTTTCGCCACCCAGTGGCTTTTCCAGTCCAATACAGTGAAGAACAGTGGAAGATGATGAGGAATTTGAGGTAATCAGTCCCTCAGCCTTGAGTCGATGTGTTCAGTCCATCAATCTTGATGAAAGTATAACATATCTACATAGAATGGGTGACTTTTATACTGCACACAGATGAGACGGATCAGTGGTAGGCGGACTTATCAGTGGAAATATTCACTAATGGAAGTAGGTCATGCCTATTGGTTAGATAAGTTATAAAGAATTCCCTGCATTTAGATCCTAAGATGTTGCTATGTTAGACAGAATTTAAATAAATGACTTAGAAACCAGATAAGTTAATAACTGACACACTTGGGCAACATTCGGGAATCTTTATTGTGGAAACGTTTCGTCACTCAGTGGCTTCTTTAGCCCAATACAGAGAACAGTAGAAGATGAAGAGGAATTTGAGGTAATCAGTCCCTTAGCCTTGAGTCGAACAAGAATCTTAGTCTCAGCCTATCTGATCTTATCTATAAACACTCAGTATGAGGCTCGATGTTAGTTTTGCGGGAGACCTGCTGTGCAGAGCCATCACTTCTACCTCGCTAGATGCTATCAAGGAGAGGTTAGCTCACCTGCACGACTTGGCCGCACATAACCTGCAAGGCTCACAATGGCAGATGAAGCAGTGGTATAAGAGATGAGTGCATCGATCTGTCAGATCCAGCAATCTAGTTATGGTACAGCAGCCAATGTCAGACCACACCTTACAAGTTAGGTTAAACGGTAGATGATTGTAATTAGGAGGTTCTACCCACACCTATTTACTTTCACCAAAGCCAGCACCTGTGCTGTCAGCAAGATTTGTTAGTAAGGGTGAATTTTTCTCTCAGTCAATACATCTTCCACCACTTACAGCAAAACCTGATTTCATTTGCACAATGTTTTGTTCACATGTGAGCTTTTTTAAGTCTGTGATGACCCATAATGGCCACTCAGATCTGATAGACGACCCGCGACGACCGTTCATATCTGAACAATGATTCGCAATGACCACTCACGTCTGAATGATGACCGCTTAAGTCAAATGACCCACGATGGCCAATCAGGTCTAAATAATGACCTGCGATGATCGCTCAGGTTCGAATGATAACCTGCGATGACTGTCCATGTTCGAATGATGACCGCTCAGTTCCGAATGATGGCCCTCTAAGGTCCGAATGATGGCCCTCTCAGGTGCGAATGATTCCCCGCGATGAACGCTCAAGTCTGAAGAGTGACTTGTGATGGCCGCTCAAGTCTTGACTTAAAATCCCTACACAAGCCTGAATGATGACTCGATCGTCCAGACCAGCTCATATTACCATGGAAGTAATGTATAGCAGTACTAATATGGTTAAGGTGGGAGTCTCGCTGTGAGTGATGTTACATATCATAAAGGTAACGCAAAAGCTTTAGAGTAATCAACCACTGAAGTCTATTAACTGGAAATAAGTTGGTTAGGCCAGATTAACCTTAGATCAAGCAATATTTGGTAGTTAATGAAAGTAATAGTAAATAAGAATGGTAAATATATAAATACGAATGGTATTGCCATATACCAACCCACCTGAATAAATAAAATATAGAAGAATATAAATAATACTGTATATTTTGTTGTACTAAGCTGTGTCTCTGTCCAGATATATGTCGGTATTACGATCTGCAACCAATGTTCTTATGAGGACCCATTGTAGGTTCCTTTCTGCAATCATTGACCAGTATTTACAGTTGTGTTTACGTGAATAATCTTGTTTACTGAATGCCCGCTGACAGGTTTGACCGGCTGGCAGCAGAGCACCACTGCCTGAGGATCAAGCTGCTGGGAGACTGCTATTACTGTGTCAGTGGTCTGCCAGAAGCAAGACCAGACCACGCTCACTGCTGCGTTGAGATGGGACTAGACATGATCGAGGCTATAGCGTAAGTTTTTACATCACACTCTTATGTTGAATGCTCATCACAGCCTTGAATTGTTGAATGTTCGTCCTGGACGTCGGTATATAACGTCGATTAGTATAAACTTTGTTAATGGATACCGGCAAGTGTTTGTTCTTGTGTCTAAATAACATCGACTACTCGTCATTTTCTTAGTTTGAAATGTTCATTTTTTTTATCTTTGCCATTGTCTACGGTGTTGGATGCTCGTCTATGTCTTGTTTTCTTTCTGTGGGGCAACAGTATAGTCTGGTGTTCAGCAATATCTATATGAAAATTTGTGGGATGGTATGAGTTCTCTATCAGGACTGTAAGAAAACTTTTACATAGAATTCCTAGAAACTGAGCGCTTCTCCTATATTATCCCAAACAATGTCACGTGCTTGTTCTACAAGGACGACGTTCTCACAATCACCCCAAAATTCTCCACGTCTACAGTACTTGAGGAAGGCTCAACAAAGTTGACCCTTCAGTCCATTTCACACTAAAAGACCGATGACAGATCAGAGATTACCTTTTCTTCGAATTTTTACCATAAAGGTGACAATTACCTAAAATTCCAAGTCTACAGAAAGCCTAAGAAGAAAACTAATCTTACATAATTCTACTCCAGAGATATCTTCACCGATTTCTTTTTGGGAGTGCGTAGTATCTGCAGCCTTCAATTTCTAGATAATGAGTTCTACATGAACCATACATTCACCAAACTACATTTTTCTGCTTCATTCATCAAGGACTGCAAGAAACAGGCTCTTTATAGCATCAATTCACTATGCTCTAACAGCACCTCGGTAAAGTTATCATGTATCCTAACAACCAAGTGCCCTTCAATATCTTTAAAGGAATTTCTTCATGGCAGCCAGTACTTCCATCAAATATCTTACCAGGGCTAAAGTCAAGTCTCTGAACTAGTCAACACATGGCATTATTCCATGTGTCACCTGTGATAAAATGCACATCGGTGAAACAATCTGGAATTTGAACTCATCTAAAAAACACATTTAAACGTGCAAATATGGTAACTTGAATAATGTTTGCGTGTTCTGTGACATACAAACTCCAAAAACCATCTGATGAAGTAGTTACGCCTGCTAATTTATTAAAGAACCTGACACCCGCAAACATAATTCGTTAGACTACTGCTTTAATTTCCATTTCTGAGACAGTAACACAAAACAAGGGCAGCTTCATTATCTCTGAGATATTAGCACAGATCCTTCTAAAAACACAATTCCTCCATCACTTAACATCATCGCACATCGAAGATACTACCACTACTTACTTTCCTACTACTACTTATACCACTGCTACCACCACTACTTACTTTCTTATTACTCTATTTATACCACTGCCACCACTACTACTGTCTTCAAGAATCCCAACCACTTCTGGACACCTCATCTTAATCCCTTTATACGCCCTTTGTGTCCATGTGTCGAATAATTTGTATTGGCATAGTAAAGCTCCTAGTGAGCGAAACGTAAAAACAATAGCTGTCTTATTAGTTGCGCATGTGTCCAGCTACCGAACATATTATCCCTAGTCTTCCCAATAAATTATCGATAATGTGTTTTGTGGTAAAACACACTGGTTCCAGAAAGAACTCGTTCAAATGGAAACTGTTAGTCATCGTCATGAATAAATGTTTCCTCTTTCTAGTAAGATATTTTCCGGAAGTGGCGGTGGGTTATAATTAGTGTCTGGTGATGAATTTTGTAGTGAGTGGGTCCTGGTGTTCAACATGAGTCGCTGTGAGAAGTGACTTAGTCATCGAGGGGGAAAATACCTTGGACCGAGAGCCGCGTCTAGCAAAACTGCACTCCTTAAGATAAGAACATAAGAAAGAACGAACACTGCAGCAGGCCTACTGGCCCATGCGAGGCAGGTCCAATTCTCCTACCGGCTTAAGCCAACGCCCTAACCTAGTCAGGTCAAGTCACATTCACTTAATGAAGGAGCACGGCATCTGACCTAGTACCACAAGCTAGTCAGGTCCAACTCACACCCACCCACACCTTCTCATGAATTTATCTAGCCTGTTTTTAAAACTACACAACGTTTTAGCTTCTATGACGGTACTCAGGAGTTTGTTCCACTCATCCACAACTCTTATTACCAAAACAATGCTTTCATCTGAATTTTTCCAACTTAAAGCCATTGCTGCGAGTCCTGTCTAGGCTACATATTTTATGTCGGAGGATCTCACCTTCAAGGACCATAACATTGTATCAATCGCATCTGCTAGAAAAATGACAGGATGGATAATGAGAACCTTCAAAACTAGGGAGGCCAAGCCCATGACGACACTCTTCAGGTCACTTGTTCTATCTAGGCTGGAATATTGCTGCACTCTAACAGCACCTTTCAAGGCAGGTGAAATTGCCGACCTAGAAAATGTACAGAGACCTTTCACGGCGCGCATAACGAGATAAAAACCTCAATTACTGGAGCGCTTGAGTTTCTAAACCTGTATCCCTGAACGCAGGAGGGAAGATACATGATTATATACACCTGGAAAATCCTAGAGGGACTAGTACCGACTTGCACACGAAATCACTCACTACGAAAGCAAAAGACTTGGCAGACGATGCACATCCCCCCCAATGAAAGCAGGGGTGTCACTAGCACGTTAAAGACCATACAATAAGTGTCAGGGCCCGAGACTTTCAACTGCCTCCCAGCACACATAAGGGGGATTACCAACAGACCCCTGGCAGTCTTCAAGCTGGCACTGGACAAGCACCTAAAGTCAGTTCCTGATCAGCCGGGCTGTGGCTCGTACGTTGGTTTGCGTGCAGCCAGCAGCAACAGCCTGGTTGATCAGGCGCTGATCCACCAGGAGGCCTGGTCACAGACCGGGCCGCGGGGGCGTTGACCCCCGAAACTCTCTCCAGGTAAACTCCAGGTAAACATCCCCTTTATTTATTTATTCCTGTTTTCCATTTATATACCTCAATCATATCCCCCCTAATTCTACGCCTTTCTAGAGGGTGCAGATTCAGAGCCCTCAGTCTAGTCTCATAGGGAAGATTTCTGATACATGGGATCAACTTTGTCATCCTCCTTTGTAAGTTTTCTAGTGCATTTATATCCATTCTGTAATACCAGAACTGTACAGTATAATCTAAATGAGGCCTAACCAAAGATATATAAAGTTGAAAAACAACCTGAAGACTTCTATTATTTATACTTTTGATATGAAGCCAAGGATTGTGTTAGGTTTATTGCAAACAGACGAAAAATTGAGGTTCCACTAGCTGAATGATCCCACAAAGATTTTGCTCTAAACAACAAATAAAAAATAGATTGTGCATTGGGAATGCATCAAATGTAAAATGTGTATGTTAAATATTATAGTCATAAGCATCGACTAATCGTTTCACAAAAGCTTTCAAAACAGAGCCACCATGAAAATTAAGCAGTCACGAGGCTTCACAATACCTGCCTGGAAATCGTCAGTCAGAGCAATTACCTGCCATCTGGTGTGCCCTTTCCTGCCTTTTAGCACACCCAGACTCAATATCCTTTGGAAAAAAAGTCATAATGAAGATTGAGAGGAGAAATGTTGTGTAATGGTAACCGTGGCAACAGAGATGACGTAGGAGGCCGGCTACGTCATCAAGGGAAAGGATCAAGTGTGCTGCCAATTAGTGTTTTGCACGTGCTTTGTCTTCCCTTCAGGTGGAGAGGGACGTGCCTTGATGCCGGTAAAGGGAGCTACCCTCCCATTTCTCGGATCAAATATAAATACCGGGTGGCCCGGTGGCCTGGTGGCTAAAGCTCCCGCTTCACACACGGAGGGCCCGGGTTCGATTCCCGGCGGGTGGAAACATTTCGACACGTTTCCTTACACCTGTTGTCCTGTTCACCTAGCAGCAAATAGGTACCTGGGTGTTAGTCGACTGGTGTGGGTCGCATCCTGGGGGACAAGATTAAGGACCCCAATGGAAATAAGTTAGACAGTCCTCGATGACGCACTGACTTTCTTGGGTTATCCTGGGTGGCTAACCCTCCGGGGTTAAAAATCCGAACGAAATCTTATCTTATCTCTTACATGCATTTCCCAGGAGCTGTATCACCCCTATAGTGTAGAGCTTTCCCAGAATAATAATAATAATGATAAATAATAATAATTATTATTAACACAGTGGCCCTGACATCACAATTCAGATGAGCCTCTGAACTGCATCATCCCCTCACCTTCAAAATGCAGGCACTGTACTTCCCACCTTCTGGACTCAATTCCAGCTAACCGGTTTTCCTGAATACCTTTATAGAAATTACCTTGCTCACACTCCAACAGCACGCCAACCTATAATACACGCTCGTCTCCACTCTCAGTCTGACACTCTCACTCAAACCTGCCGGATACTTAAGCCCCAAGCACTCAAAACCTCCTTTACACTCTACCTCCAACCATTCCTGGCTTGGAGATATTTGAGAGTTCTACGACAGCCACTTTGAGCACATTTAAGCAACTGTGAATGCCGTGAGGTTCTTAGCACAGACCTTTACGACTTAGTGGAGGTGCACAAAAGCAATTCGAGCTTCACTGATCTCTGGACGGTGGTAGATGGCAGATACGCAGGTGTCTCACGTGGTGTAGCGCGGGAGTGGTCAGATGTTATAAGAGCAGCTGGCTGGCAGCTGGCTGGCTGGCTGGCAGCTGGCTGGCTGGCTGGCAGCTGGCTGGCAGCTGGCTGGCTGGCAGGCTGGCTGGCTGGCTGGCTGGCTGGCTGGCTGGCTGGCTGGCTGGCTGGCTGGCTGGCTGGCTGGCTGGCTGGCAGCTGGCTGGCTAGCTGGCGATGCTCGACCACGCGGCGCACTAACTCGCACTGGCTTATGATCCACACTGAGCTACAATATGCGACAAGAATGCAATTTTGCTTGACTAGCGTTTTACTAGTAGCACAGGCAATAAGACACACTGGTAGACTTGAACAGATACAGACTTCGAACAGGACTGAGTTGGCTTGTTGCTCTCA